CTAAACAAAGGCATAAACTTTTAAAGTGAGTGTAGGTTACAACCCTTTTATCAGTGTTTAGAAATATATTATAGGAAGTAGTTTTAATTAGAACATACAACTGCATTGGTATCGGTTCCTAGTATTGGTTAACTTTTAACGAGTACAATTACAGTATCAGTATCAAAGTAATGAAGTATAGCCAAACATTATTAATTCACATCATTACATTTCTTTGACTCTTCTTTAAAAAATGTAGTTACAAAAAATTACCCTCTATATAAAAGGGCCATGTGAGCATTGTTACACAAAGCCAGGAGTTATTAAGATTAGGCATAGATCTTCAAACAGTAAAAAGGTTCTTCAAAGCACTAAAAGTAAGTATAAATGTGACAACCTCTCTTCAAAAAATTAATCAGTTCTCAAAAGAACCTTAAACAGCAAGGAAAAGGTTCTTCAACTGAAAAAGGTTCTCCAGGGCACTCAAAGTGCTTTAGAGAATTTATGAAGAACCACTTTTAATGAGACAGGAAGTGAATGCACAAAATAAAACAGGAAGTACCAAAAATACAATAAAACCAGAAACAAGACTGCAAAGCATTCAACCTGCAGAATCACCCATGACACAAGCAAGTTGTAATTAAACAAATTAAACAAATGACTGCAAAATTTCCCCATGTTAAGTGCAGTAGACTGAAATGAATAGCTTTATTTGGAAATATAACATATCTACTTTTTAATGGACTTATATAAAATCTTTCTTCAACATAGACCCCACTAATCAACTGATTAAGTGTTATTTTTATAAAAAGAGAGACAATGCACAAAGGTAGGAAAGGAAAAGAAAGTGATAAAAAATAGGTTTTGTTAAATGTTCTTCAGATAATGAATTAATTGACAAAGTTTTTGCAGGGTGTGAAAAAAATGTTCAAGGTCAAGCTCCTGGGGCCAAGCCCCCCCCCCCCCCCCCCCCATATCTCAATCCTAGTGACGTCCATGGACCCTATATCATCACAATCTGGCAGCCTTGTTATTTAATGCCCACATTTGAATAGACTATATTTAATGACTGCACGAATCTAGTTTCAAAACCTTTAAATACGGGTTAGGGTTGGAACCCGAAGCTTTTTTTATTTTTTTTTTATTTTGAAGCCGCAGTTCAGCCTGAACACCGTAATGCCTGAACCTTTCATGCAAAATAAATTCCCGTGAGGGCTGACTTGGCTTTCGTTTTCAAAGTAAAGGTTAGGTTGACCGTAAAGAGAACACACGTTTCTCATTTGGATCTGAGAGAACAGTGTTTTTCAGAAGGTAAGTCTACGTTTTAGAATTATTACGATTCGTTTTTGTTGCATATGTGCATTTAAAATGTATTTATGTTAAATATGCCTGAGCTGTGAGACTTATTTGTAGGACTTTAACAGGGGCAAACACTTTGTACAATAACTTCAGATTCAAGATGCAGCGTTAAAATGTTATGTGATTTTTATTTATTTATTTTATATTTTAAAAAGCTGTTTAACACAATCATTTCGGCCACGTATTCGGCCGTTGCTGGCTGAGCTCTGGGTCGGCTGACCCACTTAATTTCTTTATTCTCAGCGTGGCTATTCCGGCGCTGCCACACATAAGACACTTTTCTTAAATGTTTGTCGCCTTAACCGAATATTTTCCGTAGCCTATTTAACCGGTTTTTAACGGTGACGGAAAATCTTGAGGCTGCCAGTCATTATGACAGATTGCAATTCACACCCCCCACTCAGGCAGGTGCGCAGACCTTTTAAAAGTTACACAGAGTACGTCACCGAGGTATTAAAATCAATCAGGGAAAGATTCCCATCAGAACATCTCAGCATTGTCTCACACTTGGACACAATGCAGCGCATCTCACCACGGACAGCGCGCGTGGACTGCGCGCTGAACCGCAAACAGGAGTTCGGAGCGCGTCTACAATCACTCGTGCGCAAGAGCGCATGGCAGGAGGATTTCCATTGAAGAAATGGATGGTCAGCTCTGGAAGCACTGCGGACTTCAGGTTATTTACTTTGGAGAACTGTTCCCTGATTTTAAAACTTTGGCTGACACAGCGTTTATGCAGTCTCCAGCTTGGCTAAACGAGCCAGTCAGAGGAGAAGGTCCAGAAGGTCATAGCCTCTTCAACACACCCCTAGAATAGAGACATTTGATTACGCACAAGCAGGCGCACAGTTCACGTTTACGCGCAGCAGAGGGGTGAGAGAGACCGTGCGTTCGGGCCACAACAGGTAAAATCGTTTAATTGCATCGTTTATATGTTCCTGAAACACTTGAATTCATCAGGCCAAAAGTCAGCTCATCATCAGTGTTTTTTCTTTCTTTCTTTATTTTGTATTTCGGTTCTTTTTACAATACCGTACCACCTTTATTTATGAAGCACTTAAAAACACAGCCATACGGCTGACCAAAGTGCTGAACAGTCGCACAAGAGATAAAAAACATAAAACAGTAAAATACAGCCAGCAATAAAAAAAGACAAGCCGATTAAAAAGTACCAATAAAACCTTACAACGGATGATAAAATAAGAGTAGTAAAAGCCAAACTAACAGCTGTTAAATGCAAGGGTAAAATAGTGTGTCTTTAGTAGACTTAAAATCTGCCAAGGTGGATGCCAGTCGAACTGTGACTGGAAGTTCGTTCCACAGTTTAGGACCCGCAACAGAGAAAGCTCTTTGTCCGCATGATTTGTAACACGCTTTCGGGACTTCGAGGAGCAACAGGCTGGAGGACCTGAGTGTGCGACCAGGAGTATAAATTGAAAGAAGATCAGATAAGTACTCGGGGGCGGTTTCTTTTTTAACCTTGTTGACAGTTTCGTTTAAACCAGGGGTGTCAAACTCAAACTCACACGGGGCCGAAATGAAACTCTGGGACGGAGTCAGGGCCAAACTTAATATTTTTTTGAAAAAGTGACGGCAAATTTGCACATTTTCTTTATCAACATATATGCAATTTTGAACCTTTAAATTTGGAAACAAACTTATTTCTGCATTAACACTGAATGTGGAATAACCAAATTACACACAAGCAAGTCAGTTTGAAATAAAAGGCATCAGTGGTATTCATTACTTGTGGTATATTCAGCATTTTTAAAATCTATTCAGGATTTATGTTTTCTTGTTTATTCATTTTTCTTATTTTTTATTCTCCTTTTAATCTCCTGTAATAAGTGTCATCGCTGCTGTGGCATCTAGCTTTCCCCACTGAGGAACAATAAAGGGATTTTCTATTCTATTCATCTATCTGCAGCCTTTCCACTTCCTGTTTACTGTGGGTTAAATCTTTTCTCACATGCCAACAACAAAATAAAAATATCATTTTATCTTAAATGAAAATGCAACATCTCACCTGTTAACTTTCATGTTTTGGAGCAGAAAAAGAGCATAAAACCAACATATTTAAAGCTCAGTTTGCTCCACTGGTTTACTGTGATGCTCACCTGTTCCAGCCAGATACCTGCATCATGGGGTTGATCTGCTGAGGAGGAGACTCCTGTTGTTTTGTTCATCCTCATCATAATAATGACAGCATTAGATGACAACAGGTGCTCACATAGGTTTGTGCTGCTGAACATGTCTGAGCAGCTTGACCACGTTGTTGTGTGTCAGGGAGGAAACACAATGACAGCAGCCACAGAGCCGTGCTGGTTTGAGCATGTCGCTGTTCGCTGGAGTTATATCAGCTCTGTCTGGATGTTAGTTGGAAAACTTTGTCTTTCAGTCATGAACACATTACTGAGCGGCTAGAATCTCCGTTTCTGGGCTTCAACGTCAGAAAATAGCTGAGTGAACTCGGCGCTGGGTGAGAGGAGTGTTTAGTTTGTCCGAGACAGCGGAGCTGCACACACCGGCAGCAGGCGCTGAAAAAACACAAAGGAGGGGGCGCGTCGGCTCCGCGCTGACGCCACAAAGGATCATGGGAGTTGAAGTCTTTGCGGTAAAATCGGCCAGCGGGCCAGTTTTAATATATTTTTGATATTTATCTCGCGGGCCACATGAAAATGCTCCGCAGGCCATCTGGCCCGCCGGCCTTGTGTCTGACATATGTGGTTTAAACTGTCAGCAAGGAAAAAAAAATAATGAAATCTTTCTGTGTTTTAAAAAGAACCAAAAATGCAGTTACAAACTAAGCACAGCAAGAACATACCAAAGATTATCATCAGTGTTGTTGTTTTTTTGTTTTATGTTTCAGAGAATATTTGAACAACGATGCAACTGACCCAGACTACAGAGGCTAACTGAATGCATTTCCTACTAATACGGTTTAAAAAATGAAGCGAGGAGTTAATGGAGTTACAGATTTTTGCTTTTGTGATTCTCCTCCAATAGCCTCAAGGATGTCCCACCACAATTGGCTTGAGTGGTGGGGAGGCTAATCCAAATGTTATACTTACTTTGAAATAGTTCACCATTTCAGTAAAAATCATTAAATGACCAAAACTGCCTTACAAAGGTGGTGGTAGAGGTTTGAGTTAATACTTTGAAAAATCTACAGTTTGCGCCTTGATGAGTGGATGGATTATTTCAACAAAGGAAGGAATGCTCACTAACCCAGATTTATACATGTTGTGAAGAATATTTGAGAGAAAGAAGCCCTTTTTGCTCTTGTGCCCAACAGGGGAAAAAACAAAAGTTAAATTTTTTATAATTTTGGTGAGTATTTTAATTATCTCCCACAGCTCTGTGCGTAGAGAGACCAAGTGCAAACCACACCAACCCAGACTCCCAAACGGTCCTCCATGCTGTCTGTGTCGTCCGTGTTGTTCAGGTGTTCTGTTAGTAACACCTGAACAACACAGATGATACAGACAGCATAAAATTTACATATGAAGAAAAAATAGAAACCAGCATAATGTTCATGAACATGACAATAACTAGACAGAGCGGCGGGACCCAGAATATAAACACATACAAGAAACCAACACACACAGACCAATATTTATAATAATAATAATAATAATAATAATAATAATAATAATAATAATAATAATAATAGTAATAATAATAGTAATAATAATAATAATAACATTTATTTGTAGCGCCTTTCAGGACTCTCAAGGTCGCTTTACAGAAATTGCATAATACAGATAAAACAGTCCTCAGCAAGTTAAAATTTCAAATTACTCAATCAATTAAACAAATACAAGTTAAAAGTGAAAACCCGTAAGTGCTAAAATACTAGACTAAAGGTCAAAAATAAAAATATAAACAAATACATCAAGTAATCAGTCAATATAATGTTATCATAAAGATATATGTTACCCATTAAAATCCTCATAGTATAGCTGAATTACATACACAATCAACTAAAATCAAACTAGGCATTCAGAAAGGCCTGTCTAAACAAATGAGTTTTCAGTAATGATTTGAAATGAGTGATAGACCTGGCCATACGGATGTCTAAGGGTGTTGCAAGCTCCCGCGTGCTGCAACGAACGGATATCGCGATGGAGGAAGATGTGAGCGGAGGGCTGCTGATGCGAGTGAAATCGAGGCAGGAGAATATAAGAAGCGGACCAAAAACGAACATCAAGAGGATATGAAAAGATATGAAAGCTTCTGTGGGGAAGTAAAAACTTTTTAATGAATCTGAGACCATCTTGCTAAAGTGTAACGATCTGTCACACTGAGCAGGAGGTTTGGACCCAAAAACGCAGAACACACGACACAGAAGCAGATGTAAATAAGTAAATCCTTTATTTAAAGGAGGAGGCTTGATCCAGCAGTCCAAAAACAAAACAGAAGCTCACAACTGAGCACCGACTCGGGCAAAACTCTGGAGGGAACAGAACAACGTAGACACAACTATGGACCGACAAACACTGAAGGACAAGACAGGGTTTTTAAACACAGAGGGAGGTGATCAGGGGAACAGGTGACAGGTGGGAGTAGTGAGAGCTGGAGGGAAGGCAGGTGCTTACAGTAACCTAAATGAGGGGAAAGAAACAAGCAGGATGGCAGATAAACCTTAACCTATAAAACACGGATAAGACTAAACCTAAAGACTGGGCAAAAATAAACCACTAATAACTAGATGGATGAGGAGGACTAAAATAAGATTGACTAGGAATTATCAGGGAGTGATTAGGAGGACACCTGAGGGAAGTCTAGAGAGGGCTAGGGATAATGAAGGGACACAAGAGGAGAACCTGGAGTGAGAACAGGAGTAGGCTGGGGACAGAGGGACACAGAACTTGACATGATCACATTGTTTTGCTATTTGTGATTTGCTGATATATGCAAAATGCTTCACGATGCAAAATTGATTCAACTTGTAAAATGCTTGCAATGCAAACTGCTCCGCAAATGGAAAATGCTTTGCTTTGCAGATAAGGGTATATATATAAGAGCGATTGAAAAAGGGGAGAGGGTGGCTCAAGTAGATTAATTGATAAATCCACGTTAGACTGATCACCTAACGGGAATAATTTTCTAGTTACCACCGCCCACACATGCTGACAGAGGCACAAATTAATCCTGATAGGACCCAAATAATAGTTAGCTGTGTTGGCCTCCGGTAACCCTTCGCCCTAGTACTCAGAACAACTGAGTAACGGGAACCTACAAGGGAGGGTGTGTTGACTCTGGACCAAGTAGGGTTACGTAATATTCTCCATTTCACCTTAAAATAGAAAACGAGTCCTACAAAAAAGGAGTCCAAGCCAGGGTCTGTACAATAAAACTCACAGTGGTCTCAACCACCCTGAAAAAGCAATGTATTCTACGGACCACAAGAGTGGGCGCTCGCTACAAGGGGATGCTATTCCATAACCGCGGAGCCTGTGAGCCGAAAGACCTAAGGCTCATCGAGGATAGACGGATTTGAGGTGTAACAAGTAAATTATGGGAAGTTGAACGAAGTGACCGTGATGGTGTGTAAAAATTCAATAGGTCACGTAAATAACTAGGAGCCATGTCATTTAAAGTTTTGAATGTCAGGAGTGATATTTTTAAATCAATGCGGTAGCATACTGGGAGCCAATGAAGCTCCTCAGGAATCTGAGTAATATGTTGAGAAAAAAGTGTCCGGGTAATTTTACGCGTTGCTGCATTCTGCACTAACTGAAGTTTGTGAAGAAGTTTCTGAGGTAAGCCCGTGAGTAAGGCATGACAGTAATCCAAACTTGATAAAACCAGGGCATTTACAAGAATCTTACTGTCATTTACTGTCAAGGAAGAACGTAATTGATTGATGTTGCGCAGGTGAAAAAACGCAGACTTAACCAATCCATTTACATGGGTATTGAAGGAGTGAGTGTTATCCAAAGTAACACCCAAACTTTTAACATGGGCAGATGATAAAATGAGAGTATTATCGATATTGAGTGAGAAATTCAGAGATCCGGCAAGATGTGATTTGGTTCAGACTGTGAGAAGTTCCGTTTTATTACCATTCAGTTTCAAGAGATTATGAGCAAACCAAGTCTGTATTTCACTTAAGCAGTTTGTTATAGCCATAATAGATAATGACTGAACAGATGAAGAAGAGATGTATAATTGCGTATCATCTGCATAACAGTGGAAGTTCACATTGTACTTCCTAAAGATGTTTCCTAGTGGAAGAATATAGATGAAAAATAAAATTGGACCCAGAACTGAACCTTGTTGAACCCCACATGATACAGGCATGAGGTGAGATTTATATGACATAACCTGAACAAAATGCGAGCAGTCAGATAGGTACGATTTGAACCATGAGAGTGCTGTCCCACATACCCCAATGGTGGATAGGCGCTTTAGAAGAGTTTTATGCGATATTGTGTCAAACACCGACGTCAAGTCTAAGAGCAGTAGTTTGTTAACTAGACCAGAATCAGATGCCATCAAAAGGTCATGAGTGATTTTAATTAGAGCAGTTTCTGTACTGTGGTTTTTTCGGAACCCAGACTGTAGTTGTTCATACAGTTGATTTCCACTAAGGTGGTCTTGAAGTGGAGTAGCCACCAATTTTTCCAACACTTTAGAGAGAAATGGCAGATTTGAAATAGGTCTGTAATTATTAAAATCAGTTATAGACAGATTTGGTTTTTTGAGAGTAGGTAAAATTATCACAGTTTTAAATTTTAGTAGAACCACTCCCATGTTAGGTGATGCATTAATAATATTAACAACAAGAGGTAGTAACGATGGAAGTGCCAATTTAACTAGTGTCGTAGGATCTAAACTGCACATTGAGCTCTTTGAATGCAAGATAATTTCAGAAATTTGGCATAACTCGGTAGACCGAAATCAGATAATACAGACTGTACCGTGGGTAAAATAGAACTACAGAGTTGGCAATGAATATCTGTGCATTGAGTAAGTTGGGAGTGAATATTACTAATCTTGGAATTGAGAAAATCCATATATTGACCACAGGTGTCATTTGTATCGAAATGATAGTTAATGGTATTTTGAGGCTTAATCAATCTATTTAAAGCACTAAATAGTGCTCTTGAATTACCATTAGCAAGGCTAAATTGATAATTATGGTAAGCAGATTTAGCTTTAGCTATTTCCTCCATATACTTGAGCGATTGGAGATGGTAGAGATTTTTCTGACTATGCAGTTGTGTTTTCCTATATAGTCTCTCCAGTCGATGGCCTTCGTGTTTTAATTGGTGCAGGTTAGCTGTGCACCATGGAGCAGATTTAGAAAAAGAAACATTACGTGTTTTCAAAGGAGCCAGGTCATCAAAAAAATTCTGTAATTTATCATCATAAAGGTTTAGTAAGACGTCAGAAGGTGCTGAGCAATCTCCACTAGACAGGTTTGTGATAGCAGAGGAAAGAGCATTGAGATCAATAGTTTTAACATTTCAAAAAGAAATGGAGCTGGGGATAATTTTTTTCAATAATGGTAAATTAATTTTAAAAGAAACAAGCTTATGGTCCGATAAGGGGTAATCAGATGCCATAATATCCAAAGGGGTAACACCAGTACAGCAAACCAGATCTAAGGTATGCCCCCTAGAATGGGTGGGAGCTTTTACAAACTGCCGGAAACCATGGTTGTTCAGGCAGTGTTAAGCATTTTGCATTAGAGTCTAAGGCGTTATTAACATGAATGTTGAAGTCACCTAACAAAACCACATTCTGGGAAAGTGAACATAAAAAAGCTATAAATTCAGATAGTTCATTAAAAAATTCTGAATCGAACTTTGGTGGACGGTAGATAACAGCCAAAATTGTCGGAATAGATCCATTAATTTGTAAGGCAGTTGATTTGAAAGTCCGGTATAAAAAGGCTTGTACAGGAGAGACCTTAAATTTATCTTTGTAGATAAAAGCAAGGCCACCACCACGTCCAACCGGCCGAGCAAGGCTAGAATAAACAAACCTGGTTGGAGTTGAGTTATTTAGTTCTGTGAAGTCACCTGGTTTTTGCCACGTCTCAACCAGGCAGAGAAAATCTAGATTACAGTTGTGAATGAGTTCAGATACTAAGTGGCCCTTGCTAGACAGGGATCGAACATTCAACAGACCCATTTTCACACAACAGACACCAGTTCTAATTGGATCGTGGTTTGACAATCCTCTTAGCACAACATGGTTATTTGAACGAGTACCTTTTTTTCAGGAGAAGGAACGGTGAGAACACCAGTAAGATGGAATTGTCCTGAAAAGTTTACCAGCTAGCAATGAAGGTGGAGGCCCAGCTAGTGGTGGAGATAGAAGCCCAACCGGTAACGAAGGTGAGGGACCAGCTAACAGAGAAGGTGGACATTATCAGAACACCATACATAAAATGTCAGTGATCAGAACGTTACAGCACCGAGCAAACATAATAACAGAAGAACGGGACCGCAAACAAGAGGATCAACATATACAAAATGGATACCCGACATGGGAAATAAACAAAGGAAAACAATAAACAGCAACAGAAAGAAAAAAACAACCAAAACAATGAAACAGAAATCTAGACATTCAAGAACCAAAAGCAGTGATGACACTTCCTTACATCAAAGGCATAACAGAAAAATAATAGCAACAATGAAAAAACACAACATAAACACACCGACAAAACCATACACAACAGTTAGTAAACAGTTAGTACACCCAGACAAGACAAGATATCAGCAGGACATAAGTGTGGAGTCATTTAGGAAATATCATGCAAACTCTGCAATAAAACACACGGAGACGCCAACTCAACACATGAACAATAGAACATAGGACAGAGTGTAAGAAGGAAAAAGAACAAAGACACGCAAGAGCAGCAACACAAGAAGCAGAATGTACAATAAAGAAATCAGAGCACTGCACTAGGGAAAACCACATAATGGACTGATGGAACAAGGACCATAAACACCAAGCAACAAAAATATAAAAGAGGGATTAAAGAAGCAATACAAATAACTGATGATTCAAAACAAGTTGAACTGGTATCAGTACATAATAAAGGCGTACACTGAGTGGAACCACACCAACTGGTTGAGCTTCTACAACAACTTACTGAAATAACAAGTCTAGCTGCAAAAACAACAAGCCACCCCTTAAACCTGATCATGACTAGTGTGGGTCTGTGTGAAGCAGATGTGATGCTTCTTCACCACACTACAAATGTGCTTTGTATTGTCTACATTTAACTGAATCTGGTGACTAGGGACCAGCTTCCAACCAAGGAGGTTCTTCCCAGTTAAAAAATGATCATATGTGACCATTATCCTGTTCTGGTGGTCTCTGCTTCATTACTGGTGACAGAGGAAGCAAGTTACTTTCTCAGGTAGTTGGAGTTTGAAATATGAATGAGATGTGTTTAATAGTTGTGGAAAATATTAACCACATTAAATTTTCAAACTTGCATCTACACGCTGAGGTGGAGCTGTGACACAACCACACATGATCCGGTTGTGTTACATTTTAGATGAACACGTGTTAACTGTCCTCTTATTAAACTGTTGGCATGCTTCCAATTCAATTGCCACGTTACTGTTGTTCAAGATGATGAACAGAATGTTGGAGATTATGTAAAATATTTCAAGATAAAACATTTTTGATCTAAAAGCAAATAATCTAGTTTTAAAAACAAATTTATCAGCATCTATCATTATATTATGTATGCACATAACTGAATTAAAGGCAATTGTGGATATTTATTCTCTAGATAAAATGAGCTCTCAGACAACAAAAGTGGTGCTGTCATTAAATGCTACTGAAGTCAGCTTGCTCAAAGAGGGACTCAATTTCAAGAAAAACCCAGAGGATGGATTTTGTTACATCATATTCAAGAGCAAAGATGGCCTCAAAGCATGCAAGAATCAGTGCAAACACCAAGGAGGATTATTCATAAAAGACATTGAAGACCTGGATGGCAGGTGAGAACATTCAGTCAGAACAGACCTGAGTTTTAAACAGTGAACCCAGTTTACAGGCAGCATGCTTTTCTGTACTTGCAGGACTGTTAAATGCACCAAACATAACTGGAAGCTTAATGTGTCAACAATGAAGTATGTGAACCCGCCAGACAGCTTCCTCCAGGATCAACTTGGTAAGTCACACAGATGCCCAAACTGGTTCTCAGAGATAGAAACACCAGAGACTAGAAAGCGAAAGTGAGATCTCACTTATTCCTGCAGCTCGACCCACTGTGGCGTCTATATATGGAGATGTATGAGGCCTTCAGAGAGGAAACTACTTTAATAGATGTCAGCTCATATGGGAGAGACTTGATGGCTGGTTGTGGTCATTTGTTGGGGCTTGAAATATCCCCGCAACGTCAGGATCGAATCAACGGACAACTGGATCCAAAGTTAGTTTTAATCTGCAGAGGAGTGTGACATAGCTCACTCACGCTCACACTGAGCTTTCCACTTCTTCGTGCAGTCCTTTTACTCACAGAGAGGTTAGTTGCATAAGCAGTTGTCAGGGCGTTGCCTGCACTCAAACAGAAAACCACCTCGAGGTAATGGAAAAAACCATGTGTGGTATGTAACTGTGATGGTTTCTGTTAAAACAAGAATGTCCTGTTTACCTGTTTACTAAAAAAGTTCAGTTTACTGGCAGGCTCAAATTTTCCATGTGAGACTTACATAGGATAATACCTTTATTTTCTCTAACATAGTTGTTCTCTGAATTGTGGACAAAGTCAATAAGGTTAGATCTAGCATCTCTCCTTCAGCCTTATCGCTGCCTCTCCCGACTCCAACCAGACCCATCATCCTAGATAGCTTTGCTCCTGTTTCTTTGCCTGAGTTAACCAAACTAGTTAACTCTATGAAGACCTCTGCATGCCCCCTCGACATCTTACCCTCATCTTTGTTTAAAAGTGCTTTTCAGTCCATCGGTCCCAGCGTGCTCTCTATTATTAATGCTTCTCTGGTTTCTGGTCAGGTCCCTGCTTACTTTAAGAACGTTGTAATCCACCCGCTTCTCGAGTCTCGACCCCTCTCTCCATAGCAGCTTCAGACCCATCTCTAAACTTCTGTTCATCTCCAAAATCTTGGAAAAGGTTGTGGCTAGACAACTCACAGCTGCTCTTGATGAACATAACATCTATGATAGCTTCCAGTCAGGTTTTCGTAGAGCTCATTCTACTGAAACAGCTCTTCTTAACAGCTCTTCTTAGGGTCTCTAATGACGTTCTGACTCACAGCGATGCAGGGGACTGTTCTGTTCTGGTCCTGCTGGACCTGACGGCAGCCTTTGATACTGTTGACCATCACCTGCTACTGGAGAGGCTGAGAGACTGGGTAGGCCTATCAGGATCTGCTCTGGAGTGGTTCTCCTCTTATTTGTCTGAGCGTTCTTTCTCTGTGGCCGTCTCTAAGTTTTCGTCCTCCACCACCTCCCTTACCCATGGTGTCCCACAAGGTTCTGTGCTGGGGCTCTACTCTTCCTCCTCTATCTGGTTCCTCTTCAGCACATTCAGAATTTTAAATGAATTTTAAAGGAATCTCTTATCATTTTTATGCAGATGACATCCAACTGTACATCTCCTTTAAGCCCCAGGAGATGTCTAAGCTGCAGCTGTTACACACCTGCTTAGACTCTATCAAAACCTGGATGGCTGGGAGCTTTCTACAGCTGAATGAAGATAAGACTGAGATCCTCATCTGTGCCCCAGACAAGCTGGTTCCCAAAGTCAGAGACTCTCTTGGTCAGCTTGCTTCTCACACCAAACCTTCTGTCAGGAATCTTGGCGTGACCTTTGACCCAGCTCTCACCCTGGATTCTCATGTCAGTTCTCTTGCTCGCTCTTCCTTCTTCCATCTCAGGAACATTGCTAAGCTGAGTCCCATTCTGTCCCGCTCTGAACTTGAGACAGTTATCCACACCTTCATCTCCTCACGCTTAGACTACTGTAACTCTCTTTTCACGTGTCTGAGCAGAACCTCCCTGAACCGTCTACAGGTGGTTCAGAATGCCTGTGCTCGGCTTCTGACCAAGTCCTCCAAACACACCCACATCACCCCGCTTCTCCTCCAGCTTCATTGGCTGCCAATCAACTTCAGGGTTCATTTCAAGATCCTGGTTCTGGTCTATAGGGCCTTACATGGACAAGCACCATCATATATTGATGATCTTCTCAGTCCCTACCAGTGTTGGGAGTAATGCGGTACAGAAGTAATTAATTACTGTAATGCATTGCTTTTTGTTGTAATGTGGTAATGTAAGGCATTACAGGGAAAAAAATGGTAATATTTACTCGGTACAGTTGTCAGTAACGTGGTAATTACAATGCATTTTAAACCCAGAATCAAGTTGCGTTTCTTAAATATTCAAATTGCGGGAAACCCGAAGAAAGATCCAGTATCTGCATATATTACGTCATTTATGGACTCCGCTTTGCAGGCAGAGAGGACGCAGCGGTACCGGTGTTCTGTTCTGCACCCGGCTCAAATACTCCAGCTGCGTCCTCCACGCGGCCGCTACAACATTCACAAAATCGCTCCACTAAAACAAAATAATTCACCTGCGATCGTTCATATCAGCGCATGTTCTCTGGTATTCTGTACTTTTCTGACGTGCTTTGCCTCAGCTAAGTTAATCCGGGCTCCGGTGATTTTAACTCATTGCTGCTGGAGCGCCGCGCATGTGAAGATCCCTTTGGCTGATAGTTAGAAAGTAGGAAGTCTAGGAAACAGTTTTTTCTGGAATACGGAGAAAACATGCAGCATGCAGGAAGGTTAGAGAGAGAAAGGGCAGGAAATTATTCAAATAAAATCAAGAAAACAAAACAGAGTGCTTGAAAAGAAAAAAGTAGGTAGATTTATCACCAATACACATTTTTACCAGTGAAAAGCAATAATATATAAGCATTTAATATTTATACATGTGATAGAATCAGATCACCCCAGAAGCCAGTCCCACATCCAGGGCCGTATCAAGGCATTTGGGGACCATGGCTAAATAGACTTGGAGCCCCCACCACCTCACTCCCTGCTCAGTTAATCTAAGATGGCAGCGTGTTGAGATTACAGATTGTTGTTTCATTTATTTCATAAACATTCCTTCTAAAGAACTGTTTTTAACAGCAATCCTAGCTCAGACACCACATCACCTTCCACCGGATGTGTCATGAGTTCACCAGGCATCAGATTACTAAACTCATACTGAAGTTGTTTTGTTGAAAGTAACTTAGAGTAATGCAAAAGTAGTGTAATGCCTTACATTTTAAAATCAGTAATATTGTAATGTAATGAATTACTTTAAAATGAGGGTAACAAGTAATATTTAATGTATTACAGTTTTGAAGTAACTTGCCCAACACTGGTCCCTACACCCCCAGCAGGTCCCTGAGGTCCAGTGATCAAAGCCTACTGGTTGTGCAGCACCAGGCTAAAGACCAAAGGTGACAGATCATTTGCTGCTGTGGCCCCCAGACTCTGGAACTCTCTCCCCCTGAGCCTGAGATCAGTGGACTCGGTGGTCTTTAAAAAGCAGCTGAAAACGCACTTGTTAAGGCTGGCTTTGGTGTGACCTTCATCACCCTCTCCTTGTTCTGCTCTTTTTACTTATTCCGCCTCTCCCGGCATCCTCTGATTTAGCTCTTTTTCACTCTCCCTGTCCTTACATGTTTTAATCACAATTTTTTTCTCATTTTAAACATATTTTTTAATTATTACAAAAAAAATATTTTATGTTTTAAATGTTTTGTTTCTGTGAATCACCTCATGATTTTTACCTTGAGAGGTGTTAAACAAAAGATAATTTTCTTACTTATTTTGTTTAAAACTTCCACATCCACTTGAAACTAACGTTTCGTTCTAAAATATGTTTGAGTAGCAGCTCACCTGTTCCTGTTTGCCTTCCTCTTGAATTCCGTCCATTCAGAGAAAAAGATTTCACATCCTTCAAGACTGATAAGCTAACGGCTAGTATGGGTGCAGCAACGACAAAAGTGTATCACTGCCACCATAAGACAACGTAACTCGCTCAAATAAATGCAGATATTATTCTATAAACAGGGAGGGGTGTTCGTAACTCACTCAATTTAGAAACAGACGTGGAAGTTTGATACAAACCAAATTCTAGTGAGGGGAGGGGGCTGTCATGGAAAATATGTATTACAAACATGTAAAACACCCTTGATGTGTTTTAAAGATCCTTACAGATATTTCCATTTCAGTGACAATATCTTGGAAAGAGATGCACCTTGATTTTCACCTTGACCTTTGTACAGCACAGTTTTTTCTCCTCTGCACCTGTTTCTGGAATGTTTGTGCTGGCTGCAATAAAACCTTGTGGATGATGTTTAGTCGAAGTTTTTTTCCTCATAATGTTTGCAATTGGTGTGTCTGGGGTAAGCATTAGCCACATGCAGTTTTGCTGGGAGAAGGTCAAAGGTCTCAGTGTGGGAGGAGGGTTATGTAAATGCTAAACTTCCATGGTGCGCTTACATCCCTGAGCACCACATTTGTGCAGCCCTGTTTATAAACCTTAGAACAGCTGTCAGTTTTGCATCACACACTTCAACAATGTACTGATGGTGGCAGAGGAGTTAAAGAGATACTATGCAACTTTTTTATATTTTTAAATCATTTTTGAGCCAGTATGTGCTAAAATGACCATTTACAAGGTTAATGAAAGGCCATCCAGCCCCTGTCGCCACCCTGTGGCCAGAATATTTCAATAGCAACTTCAGAGTGCCGGTCCAGTTTGCTGGACATTAAAAAAAAATGGAGCTGACATACCTGGAGTTGCAGTCTGATTCCAGCACGCTTCCTGTATGTTTTAGATCATGAACACAGCTGATTTGTTTATTTTAATGATGAACCACTCCTGTAGACACTAATGAAGGCTAAGGAGATTGTTCAGCTGTTAGATTAAGGTGTTTAAAAAGACAAAAGCACAGTGAGGAGACAGGTTTTGCTTTTGATTCTACTAAATGGATACTAGAGGGAGCAAGCCAAAACTCTTCCTTTAAGTAATTGCCCTGTAACCGGTGGGTTGCAGGATTGCATCCCAATTAGTCTATCACAATATTTTCGTGCTTGGGCAAGACACTTCACCCACCTTGTCTGCTGGTGGAGGCCAGAAACAGGGGGAACTGTTGGTACCCAGCAGTGGCGGGCGGTGCGTTCCACCCCTGGGCCTTCAGTGATTTCCTATTCAGTCCAATCTAATTTAATACACCTTAAAATACCATCAATAGGACATCACAGCTGGAGAAACCTCACACACACACACACACACACACACACACACACACACACACACACACACACACACACACACACACACACACACACACACACACACACACACACACACACACACACACACACACACACACACACCAGTGGCTGGTCAAGACACATAATTTCCAGAGTCTTTAAAATCAAACTCGCATTCCCAGTTGAGAGTAGGAAGCTGACCACGGATACCGTCAAATCTCAGAAATGAAAGACGCGTTTAAGAGATGAGACAATAAAATAAATAAGTAAAGCAAACACATTATTTGCATTTGTTTTGGAGAAAATTGTACCGCGAAACAATTGAACATTGGTGCAGCTGCACACACCACGTCATTCACAATATAAATTGCATAGAAACAGAACACAGAATAATTTCATTTTGCCATTTTATTTCGTTACCATTTATTTTTTTATTAACAAAATAAAATGACAAAACATTAAAAAATACTAATAAAATGTTTCTACTCACCAACATAAATGTCCAGCATGGATCTCCTCCTCTCCTGCTCATTAGAAAATAAAATCCATCCTTCTTTCTTTCCTCAGGAAAACCTCAATGGCTCTGTACAGTTTATCTGTGCGCTTCAGGTCCATGAGTAGGTCCTTTTCTATGGACATGGAGGCTAATGCTCAAAGACGTGTCTGCCCGGTCGTGTTTCTGGCGTACGTTTTAACGCGCTTTAATGCTACCAAATCCATCTGATGCGAGCAACAGGCATTCCCAGCAGAATAACCTGCAGCGGTTCTCTGAAGCTGTTAGCCATGGGTACCGTTCATAGTTGCTTGCCTGAAAATGACGAACAAATCCTTTCTCCTGCTGGGACAAGCCAGCTAGCATTGGAGTCTGATGATCTGTTCTCAAAAGATCCATTTTTTCTTGAAAGGTCCGTCTTGAAAATGGTGTGGCAAGTAAATCTGCAACCAAGTCTGTCTCTTCTCCTCTTTCAGCCATCATGTGTTCAAAAATACACCGATAGCTGCCTATAGGTACAAATCTCTGTGTTTAGTTTTGATATTTTGCTTAATGCTGCTAGAAAAGTTCTAACTACTGCTTATCCAATCACAGGATGCGTTCATGTCATCTTTTGCGTGAGGCCAGCTAGCTGGCCCGGGCCAAGCTGACTCGTGAGCTGATTGGCTATCGCAACTGGATCGTCTCTGTTCACTTACAGCGGACAGTGGGCTTCTCGATTGATTCTTAAGGCCTAGGGCAGACTAATCTGCCTGAAAACACAAGCTAGATTAAATCTGATTGGATAACACCCAGCCTTGGTATTTTAACACTGGAAGCAGCGCAGCCAAGTGGGTATAATAGGATATAAAGAAAATAGACCAGTAAACATTTTTTTATTTAAAAATAATTACCAAAGGAAAAAAAAATACATTTATGCTTTTGAGTATGTTTAGGCCAGCAGAGAAGGCTTTGCTGGCCCTGACTGCCCACCACTAGTACCCAGTGTGTATGGCAGCCTCACCTCTGTGAGTGCACCTCATGGTTGCTGTGGCAAATTTGCTGGTGTGGTTGTAGCTCGTCCACTCGAACGTGTTGTAGCAGAAATCCACATTTTATATCATCAGGTTAACTTTGTTTGGATTCTACTGAGCCCCTAAAGGGACATGGGAGGGGAAAAAAACTATTGCGAGATCTCGCAAAACCTTTTGCGAGATCTCGCAAAGTTTCCCACGACAGTGAACCGGAAGATAAACAGACACACAACAATGGAGGAGCGTCCATATCATCCGTGGGGGAAGTTTATAGATTTTTATTTTGATACTGGTATTAGGCTATCAAGTGTGCCTTTCATAAACAAAAACGAAACAATTAAGATTTCAGCAAACCCTACTAGTATTAGCTTACGATAGCATAGCATTGCTGCTAACTTTGTTACCCACGAGTGTTCTTACATTTACACTGAATGAAAGGCATGCTTACTCACCTTATCTCTCTTCAACCGTGTAATATCATCCTTTGGGACCTCTCTACAAATTAAGAACCGCTCCAAATCATCCTCCATGCTTGCAACTGAGCGGCCCCACAGTCGATGATGATGCTGCATGACTGTTTTTCTTCAGGTTCACTGTCACGGGGAACCTTTGCGAGATCTCGCAAAACTTTGCAAGATCTCCCAATACTTTTTTTCTCCTCCCATGTCCCTTTAGGGGCTCCGTAGAATTCACACGGAGAAGAAAAATAACATTTTCACACAAAGGTTTCTTTCACACTTAGCAGGAAAAAGGGGGAATTTGAAACTGGCCTACAATCATATAAATTCAAAGATACCATTTTCGAACATCTGGCTAACTCCTACATTTTCTCCCAGGACACACACACACACACACACACACACACACACACACACACACACACACACACACACACACACACACACACACACACACACACACACACACACACACACACACACACACACACACACGCTCACTTTGTTCCTCTTTAAGAAATTATTCCTAATAGTTACTATAATCCTATGTGTCACCAAATTTCCACTTTATTACAAATCAGTTATTCCATATCACTGCCATAAAGCTTTGGGTTAACAATTGTCTTAATTCCATGCATGAAACGATAAGCTGTGTTTGGTCGTTTGTCCATGCCTTAACTGATGTTTGTAATAAACTCACAAAACGTAAATAACGCCTGATCATTGTCTAGCAATTCTCGGGAATAATCGGCACATTCTGTCAAGAATTCATCATTCAATTCATCAATTTGTGGTGTTAACTCTGAGACTGATTACAGTGTGAAGATATAGATATTAAATCCAACGGTCCAGTTATGGAAACTGGTGGTGCCCCGATTAATTTAAATAAGATTATAAATAAGCTAAATCTATGCCACATTTGAAATATAGATATAAATCTATATTTATCGCTTCAGTGGGGATTAGGGATGGAGAGATTCACTGATCTGAACCGGTGGTTTGTTCATGATGTTAGCAAGGCAACGACACCGATAACTTGAGGCTGCACCAGATACATCTGATGATTTTGTATCCTTCCATACGTGTCTCTTTTCAGTAAAAATCATGGTTACATTGATTACTTCAAGACTTACCTGCTATGTCCTCATTTTTTGAGGCACATTGAACGCATCATCAGTCTTTTTCTGCAAAGCATATTTTTCCAAGGATTCTTATGGATCTGTGCACCAGAAGTTTGTGATTTGAGATAATTCCTTATCAATATAACATTTGTGCAGAACTAAAAACTTCAGACAGAATGACATTTTGTCCTCAGAGAAGTCCAATAACAGTGGAGATAAACTCACATATCCCTGTTTCTTAAAGAAACATTAGGCCACAACAGCTGTTGCAATAACCCCATATGGATCATTACAATATTTAGAAATATTTTTAGATGTTTACAGTGTTTCATAATAATTCCTAATAATTATATGATGAGCTCTGATCATTTTCTGATTCTGTTGGTTTGTTTTTCTGAGCAGAGTGTCTAAACTTCAATTCATCCCTCCTATTTCAACAGTATATTAGCAATACAAATATGTATAATATTTAAATATCACTGATGAAATGCATTGTCTTTTCATGTTGAATTTAGAAGGTTAAATACATCCTTCACAGAGGAGAGAGAACAAACATTATGATAATGTATCAAAACCAGATGTGGGCTTGCAAAAATGTTTAACGTGTTCAATTGTTTCAAATCGTATCAAATTGAAAATCATTTTCAAATCATTAATGAATTGTCATCAGAGATTAATCCTATCAAATTGTATCGGTGAAGGGTTTCATCGTAGCATTAATGCACTGTATCGCTGGTAGCGAACTGAGATATGAATCTAATCGGCCTCGCTGGATGAGATTCACATCCCTAGTAGGAGTTCTTGGGTTGGGTTCTAGGACTCCAGGAGACGCTATATAAATACAGACCAGTAAACCAAGCTGCTATCTAACCAAGACTCCTTGAAGAGTCACAACTCACCTTTCACCCTCTGGATCATCTTACCTGCATAAAAAGAGAAGTCTAGAACAGAGTTTTTCTGTAGATAATGGGAAATAGTCCTCCTATTCAGGACCAGTCTTCTATGGTGTACCCCAAGGATTCCCTTTAGATCCCATCCTGTTCTTGTTGTGCATGCTGCCATTGGCAAATATTTAGGAATTACACCCGTCCCTGTGTTTGTTATGCTGACAGCAGATTCTACTGATTCAGTTCAGTCTTCAAATCTCGAAACAATTTTTCACTCTGCTTTCTTTCCTCAAGTTCTGCTTGAGTCCCATCAGAGGTTTTTAAAATGTTTTTTATGTTTTTGTTATGTTTATTCATTCAGTGTTTCCCTCCATTCTATCATTGACACACCTTCAGTCTGCTATCCTGTATTTTCTTTGGTAATCACCCTTCCAAAGTTTAAAAGCTCCCTGGTTCAGTCACGTCTCTTCAGTTCCTTCTGTAGATTTGGCTCCCAGTTTTCAAACTTGTCTTCCTTGTTGTTTTAGCCGTATTTATCGCGGCTCCTTTCCTGTGATCTGTTGCTCATTTTTGTTCCTGGTTTTCATTAAACATTTTGAGTTCACCAGCCTGCCACCTGTTACTTCATCTAAACCTTGGATCCAAGACCAAATGAATCATAGTTGCTGCACTGTGTCCTTGGTTTAGTTAGTCTAGAACTTATTTTATAGTATTGTTCATGTTTTACATTTGATTTGTTGCATTTACTTTTTTATTGATGTTTTCTGCTTGTTTTAATCTAACTTTTATTTAGGCAACCTCACTTTAATTTAAGACATTTACAAAATGACTTTAAATCAACACACAGACGTAGAAGTCCTGGATGATGGGGCCCTTCAGCTGCTGGAGCTGAGTCCAGTTCACCCCTGGCTGACCGACCCCAGAGAGACCCTGGAGCTTCAGGAAGGAGAAGTGAAAGTCTGTCTTTTCCTTTTGCTCTCTGAAATACAAACAGCCATGCACAATAAAATATATGAATGTTGTATTTACTGAAAAAAACTTGAGTTGCCTCTTGCAGAATTAGTTGACAACTCATGTATTTAACTCACAAATTTTAGAAAGATAAAAAAAAAGTGAAAAGAAACTTTTTTTTTTCAGGTAACGTACCTCACTCATGCCTGCATGGAGCTGCAGCTGGGACAGAAGAGGTTCATGTTTGACCCCTGGCTGAAGGGTCCTGCATTCGCCCGAGGCTGGTGGCTTCTGCATGAACCTCCAGACGATGCTTTGGACAGACTCTGTGCAGCTGATCTCATCTACATCAGCCACATGCACTCTGATCACCTCAGGTAAACACTCAGGATGTTGTTGAATGGGTCTTGATGCCTTTCACATTTTGTGGCGCAAAGATACAGGTGAAACTCTAAAAACTAGAATATGGTGCAAAAGTTCATTCACTTCAGTAATTCAGCCTAAAAGTGAAACTAATGTATCAGATAAACTCATTCCATGTCTAACGTCCAGCAATGGTCAGTTTTGAGGTAAGTAAGTAAGTAAGTAAGTAAAAGTTTATTTATATAGCGCCTTTCACAGATATAAATCACAAAGCGATGTACTGTTTGACCATCCAACATTTGGTCAAAAAGGAGACACGAGACTGCACGTGTTCCCTTTAAATCCGCCTGCCGTCATCCCACCAGCTGGAGCTCAGAGCCTGCAGCTCTGACAGAGATAACAAAATCATAACAATAACATTCTCTCCTCAAGGTCCCTCACAGAGCACCCCTCTTGTCTAAGACTCTTTGCTTCACAGAAGAAAGAAGATTTTAAAATTAAATATGAATTTCTAGAACTTGCAAGCTAGATAATCAGTAAATAAATGTAGTTTGTTGCGACTTATAATAATTATAAAATAATGAAATGTTTCATTAAAGCCTTGGAATTTGAATGTCCTTTTCACAAATGTAATCAAAAAGAATGAGGGATGAAACTTTCCAATAGATTAACAACCTAACTTAAATATGATGTAACATCTATCCACCTTCAAATAAGTTAACAAAAAACACATTTAGCAGCTTTTAATGTCTTCAGTCCTTTATTCGTAGACCCTTATTGCTCTTTGACACACAATGTTATTGCAAAATAGGATCAATTCTATTTTTGCCGGACGCCGGAGCACCTCCGCAGTCAAAGGACAGAAATCACAACCGCCCAACAGGAAAGGGAGCAAGCACAACTTCCGTTATTTCACAATAAATCGATAAACAAAAAGCATTTTTTGTTTCATATGCACAAGTTTAACAACTTTTAACAACTTTCAATGGCGGTTGAACTTTAAATGCACAAAAATAAGCCATAAATACAGTTTCTACTATCAAAGTAGTCACACTTTGTTGATCCAAACACTGCTGATCTGTCAACACAAATGATGGGCAGATTAAACAGTTCATTTCGATGCTTCTCCCACACAATGGGTGTTTGGATCTAACTTCCGCATTTATTGCTCAGACTCTATTGCAAGATCTCGAAAAATCCTGCGCATGCCTGTTTGCACACCTCAGGTCTCCGCACCGGAGCGGAGCCGTTGTAGAGCGAGTACCAGTATAATTTGAGTTCGGAAGCGAGCGACAGTGGAAAGCGGAGGCGGAGCGGAGCGGAGATAGTGGAATTTTGGGGTGAAGGAGTCTAAACAATATCAGCTTGTTCTGCAGGAACCGTTTACTTTATCAGCTTTGCAGGTGCAAAAAGGTTTTGACGACGTGTCAAAAGCTTTGGTGGTTAAAGAGGTGTGCTTCAGGTGGCCGGTGTGAAGCTTCTCTACAACTGATGAATCACCAGAGTGATCTGGTTTTAACCCTTTAAGCGCCAAAGTCGCAGAATTGCGACAAGCAGCAATGATGGATTTAATAAGCCACAGCAGCAGAAATGAGCCCTCAAGCTGTTAATACGTTACACTGCGGGGTGGCAGACACCTGTAACTTCAATCCAAGCGCATTTGTGGATGTGTTACTATTCAAACTTTTGGAGTATTTAGAGCTTGAACCCCGCCCACCAGTCGCAGAGTCGCGGAGGTTGTCATAGCGAGTGAGAGCGAGAGAATGGTAGAGGGAAAAAAAAAACAATGCCGAGAGGAATGTTCAGTGCTGACGAAGCTCTTTGTCTAGTACTGGCAGATTCAGATTCGGAGGAAGAATATTTCCTTTCCGAGGATGATCTGCGGTCTTCTAGTGAGACAGAAAGCGTGGCTTCAGCGCTTAACAACAGGGAGTATGTCAGCGATGACGCGGTTACACAAGCAGCCCATCCAGCCCTTACCTTGTCCGATGTTCCGCGTCACCTCCGTGGGGAGGGATGTTGTGGCAGTGATCGGGCTGGTGAAAACTCCGCTGGTGATTGATTCAGCCCCGGGGGTGTAATCCGCGGGAATTGGAGCCGGATGGGGGAGAAACTGCGGGGTCGGGGAAAGACAGGTGGGGGGGCTCGGGCTGCTACCGGGTCTGATCCTTCGCTCCACCGTGCCGTGGGGGGGTGGGGGGGTGGGGGATTGTGGTGGCGGTGATGGGCCGGTGAAAACTCCGCTGGTGATCGATTCAGCCCCGGGGGTGTAAACCGCCGGAACTGCAGCAGGAGGGGGAGGAACCGCTGGAAAAAAAATCACTGCTAGCAGGGGAGTGGCCCAACACAGCCTCAGTGACAATGATAATGATGATGATGGCTGTGTTAGTTTGGGAGAAGAGGAACAGTATTCCAAGTGGATCAGCATTTTGATGAGGCAGTTGGAAACTGTGGAGACAGGGATCTGTCAAATTCAGAACACATTGATTTTCTGTCAGCTTTTTTGGATGAGGAATTCTGGACTGTCATCACAACTGAAACTAACCAATGTGCTCACCAGTATCTAGAGAGGGAGGAACTGAAATCTAGCTCCAGACATAATAACTGGTATGATGTAACTGTCCCAGAAATGAAAGTGTTCATTGCCATTCAGTTCTGCATGGGGCTTGTGGAAAAGCCTGAGATTTAGGATTATATATATGTATATATATATATATTATAAACAAAATAAACCAAAGAAGGGATGAGTGAAATGTGTTCATGACGCTGAAGCACCAAACAGAGTGTTCTTGATTTACACGCAGTAAACATAACAAAATACAAAATAAAGTAATACATATTATATGTATACCTACATAGATATATATATGTCTACATAGGAATATGTATATTTGTATCATAAACAATAACAACACTAAGAAAATATGACAAAAACATAAAAAAACCAAAAATCTGCAAATGTGATGCAATCCAATATGGCTGCCTCCTGATGACGTCACAATATGCAAATTATGTGAGTGAATTTGTTCCTATCACAAAATTTGGCTCATACTGAATATTTTTCCAATTTACAATATTCCTCTATCTCTAACCAGATTTAAGCTGCAAGCTCTTTAAACAGTGATATAAAAAAATCATATTTTACTGAAAAAAACTATGGCGCCTAAAGGGTTAAGCATTTAAGATATATGTTTAAGATATATAATGTTCCATTTATCCGATTTTCTAAACGGGTTGAGAATTGTTAAAGGTCCACATTGTTAAATGTATTTACGGTTGTTTCAGGAAGTATTCCCCAAACCTTATGGGGCTTTAAATGTTTCTGTTATTTTTGCCTTTTGCCATAAAGATAATCTGTGTTCTTTTATTGGCTGATAATGTCAACCGCAGGTCATGATTCACAGAATGTTGCAACAGCTACTAGCATCTAGCAATGTGCACCAAGCAGCAATCCCAGAGCTGCCTCGTAGAAGTGAACGAGCCCGTATTTTAACAGAAAAAAGGAAGGAATATCACAAGGAGGAAATGGATGGACTTTTGCTTCACTTCAACAGTTTTTATGAACGCTGGAAAGCCTTGGCTAAGGTTATCAAAAAATCTGTAACAAGACAGGATCCCAGTGACATCCTTAAAGGCCATATCACCGTGATTCAGAACGAAGAGTCTGAACTAAACATTCAATATGAAGAATATAGGAAATTAAACAGCCCACCACATGAAATGTGTCGCAGACTGGATAACTGTGCATCAGTTACCAAAGCCATCATACAGAATGCCAAAGCTCAGACTCAAGGAGCCAAAGAAGTTATAATTTGGCCTGATGCCGGCTCTGTATTTGAAACCTCTGTTTCTAGTCTTTCACATCCAGCGTCTGATCATTCAAAGGATCATTCATGTAATTCTGTTTCCTCCTCAGTAAATAGGCAAGAAGCAGCAGCTGAGTTGGCAGCTACACAGGCTGTATTAAAGATAATGGCAGAACAAGAATGTTAAGGTATTAGCAGCTAAAAGGATTCCGATCCCAGAGCCTACAGTTTTTAATGGAGATCCTTTAAAGTTCAACTATTGGAAGCTGTCCTTTCAGACACTCATGAAAGGAAAAATATTCCCGAAGCAGCAAAAATTGTTTATCCTTCAGGAATATGTCAGAGGACCAGCCAAGGAAGCCTTACAAGTTCATTTTCTGATACAATCTGAAGATTCTTACAGTGAAGCATGGAATCTGTTAAATGAAAGATACGGAGATGACCATCATAGCTAAGGCTTTTAGAGAAAAGCTGCATGATTGGCCAAAACTAGCGCCTAAAGAGAGCACAGAACTCAGGAAATTTGTGGATTTTCTACGGAGTTGTGAATCTGCAATGAAACAGAACGACAATTTAAATGTTCTCATTGATGCTCTTGAAAACCAAAAACTCGCAACTAAACTTCCCAACTGGTTGAGCACCAGCTGGAATCGACAGGCCACAGAATACCAGTTAACTTATGGAAAGTTTCCAGATTTTGGCTATTTCGTCACATTCCTCTCAATGGAAACCAGCATCGCATGCAATCCCGTAAGATCTTACAAGGCTTTACGACAAGGTGAAGCTGAGAGAGGAAAAACAAAACCCACGTACACATCCAAGTCTCAACCTGTTGGTGCTAACATACTAACTACAAAGACAAGTGAAAAAGAAATAGTCAGTTGTATGTTTTGCAAGAAAACAGGACATGGCCTACATAAATGTCGTAAATTTCATGAGGGGTTTTTCACTGAAAGAGTCTAGTTTGTTCAGAGAGAGAAACTTTGTTTTGGATGCCTAAGTCCAGGTCATCAATCCAAGAGTTGCACTAACCGGATGGTTTGTTGCACTTGTTCCAAACGTCACCCCACATGTCTTCACGAAGATCGTTCAGAACAAGAATCCAGAAAGAAACAACCAATGGATGCAAGTGTCAAAGAAGAGAGAATCCAAGAGCCTACAAGGTTAACAGAGTTTCCAAGGCAGAGTACATCAAACAGGATAATACA